AAAAAAAAAAAAAAAAAAAACAAACAAACAAATAAATTAAGAAAGGAAGACTAATAATAATAATAACAGCAACAATAATCTTCTCAAAAATTATAAAAACGGATATATGTAGGCTGTTTAGGAAAAAGGGAAACAATATTTGGCTTCCGTTTTTGAATAAAAAAAAGACAAAATTAATCTATAAATCTCAAAAGAAATACTAAAGTAAAAAACGCAATGTTTTAAACATCTCCGACTGAAAGAAAAAATGACCTTGAAAACAAATTTTCAATAAGAACAGAAATAACAACTAGAATGGTTTTACTAAATCACCTTTATCAAGATGGATTCCACACCGATATAGCATAATTATTTTTAAAACAACAAGCTCTTCAGGAAGCAGATCCAAACGACGCAACGGCATGGCAACCTCGTCGATGCATGAATTTGTCATTTGTTTATACAATTTCTCCTGACGCCATAAACGGTCTTCATCAACAGATTCCTAAAAATCCGGCTTCTTAAGTTTGTCACTCTAAGTTAAGAATATAAAAGATGAAGAAAATATCACAACAGCCATAAGGGGATAAAAAAAGCTGAAAGATCAGTTGAAAAATTAAATTACAAAAAATTTCAAATTTTCTACCTTTACTGTTGGTAAACTTCAGTTCACACTACAAATATAATTTTCATTTATGGCAAATCACTCAGCCTTTTAAATATTTAAGCACAAGTTTTCGAAACTAAACAACTATACGTTCCGAGCAGAAAGGAATAGTCAAACAAATTTTAGTAGATTACTTTTGTTTCAGGCGGAAGTGTATTAACGTTCCTTGGCATACAAGTACCATTTGAAATAACCCATACGTCTTCCAGCGTTTGATGAGCCGTGAAATAGCCATGCTCAAGAACTAAATTTTGAACAGCAAACCTAAAACAGTGATATAACACGTAAACCTGTCTTTCAGGTAAGGGAGTATAACTACATCTTCCAACATTCTTGCTATCTGCAAGAGGTCATGACAACAAAGCTTGAAGGACGGCAAGGTAACAGTCTGAAATCTACAAGTAGTCAAAAAATGCACTTATACTTCCCCTTTAGTTTAATTACTTTAATTTAGACGTCTATGACTTCTTCGGCTGAATGAAAATACTAAAAAATACCGTCGCAACAGAACAAGTTGATCAGCTCTCGGTAGCTTTGAAAAGCATGGCAAAGTTTGCGCCCACTCCAACATTTTGTATAAGTCAATTTTAGTGACATTTGCAATATCATTTCCCAATATTATCATCAACCTGTCTGACGCCTGAAAAAGAAACTAAGAGAGGACTAAAAATTTTCTAATCATTAATAATAGAGTCGGAATTCAAAGTTTTCCGAGAATGGGAAGAAGAAAAAGTGTAAAATGAGATCAGAAGCCTTTTGCAAAAGATTTAAAAGGATCACGAAAATGGAGGAATGAAAATTACAACTGGCTCGGTGTTTCCCTTCTTATACATTTCTGCCAGATTTTTCAAATCTTTCTTAGCCTGGATTTCGCTGAATTTCCTTTTCCTTATAGTTTTGTCATCGGCAGTGAGACGTTTGATTAAGGCTAACAGTTCTTTATTTTCAGACGAAATTGTCGGTAATTCATTTCCCACAGACGTCGTAGCTGATGAGCCTGGTGAGCCTGACTTGCGGTATCTTCTGCAACCAATAAGATCCCGACGTGGCTGTAAAGCTAAAAATAGGAATTTCTTGAACTAATAACAAAAAACAAATTGAAGGACTCAATGATTATAAATATACATAAACATGCCTTCTTTCGTCATGCCCATTTCCAAACACTTTCGATAACGGCACGCCCGACACGCTCTTCTAGCTCCAGCACTAATGTTGCATGGTTCGGCTCTTTTACATTCTGTATCCTGATGTTGTACAACAGCTCTAAAACGTAACATAAACATAATTATCTCTTTCTTTCAAACCTGTATTAAAACAAAACAAGCACTGTATAAAAAACAAAGTTGTCACTTGTGAGTACACCTATTTAAAAATAAAGTAGTGCCGACTGCACTGGTGAAAAGACAACCCCGGCAGAAACTGGCCGTTTGGTAGCTTCACTTCAAATCAACCGAAGCTGCGAGGAATTTAAAAAAGGCGGTAGCGAATACTAGATTTTTGAAACACTAGAAACTTCTACATCGTTTAGAATGGGTTGTACAAACGTACAAAGGGTTAGAAGGTTTTCTATACTTTTCAATATCCATCTTAGCAACTAAGCAATCTAATTCTCTCATTACCCCGTCCCAAGACGTTTTTCAAAACGGTTAAAAAAATGTAGTCAATGAAAAAAATAATTGAAGAGTTGCAAATCGGGATCCTATAACATACAGGACTTGGAAAACAAATGAAAATCATTTAAGCACAGGTAATTTTAGTTACACAAAACTCAGCGTTAAGGACCAGAGAGAACGAAAAATAAAACTGCAGGGGACAAATGTGCATGAAAATTGACCAAACTGTTTTTTCACAACTTCAATAGAATAATTAAAATCTGCTGGTCAGCAAAATACGATAAAATATTTGAGTACAAAACAAAAAGTAAAGCGCAAAAAAAATACCATGAGTAAAATGCTCACTGAAAAAAAATATGGATGGCAATAGTAATAATAATTAGAACAATAACAGAAGAATAAAGACCAGGGAGAAATTACAAAGCACAAAAATCTAATTGTTTAAAGTCACACTTTTCCTTCACTCCTCATACTGATTACGTAGAGCACGTTTTTCTTTTTTTTATAAATTTGAGCCGAAAATATTTCACCGCTTTGTAGAATCTTTCTTTGCTCTAAGAAAGTAATGCACAGATTCAAACGAGTAAAGCGGCGACTACCCTTCATATTTTACAAAAGAATCTCTGACTAAAAATAAAGTTGTTTGTTCATTCACCGGATAAACAGTACATAAAGTCCACTTGTTACTGCATCTTAAGCAGATTTTTGTGGAGCCAAATGATCTTAAAAACCTTCAACTTACAGAATGAGAGCATAACCTACTCCTCTCGCTTCGTCACTGACTCAAGCAGTTAAAAATTAAAACTTTCGTCAACGCTGTCACAGCTTACTCCAGATTGTTTTATTTTCAAATACCAAAAAGATAAAAGTATTATTACCTTCTAAAAAATGTTTTACAGCCAAGACAGGCGACAACACCATAATGGCGGCCAGCTGAAGTTTCGCCGCAAATTGTACATGGGCCACTGATTACTGAAAGACAAAATTAACTGAAAATTGGTTTACATGGGAATTGCAACATTATCTAAAATTACCATCAAATACTTTAATAAAATGAGATTGTTTTTTATGGTTCAAATCAAAAAGAGATAATTCAGCAGTGAAAAGAAAAAAAAAAGGAAGGAAATGAAGGAGCACTTAGTAACAGCCTTTTCATTCTGCTTTTTTTTCCTTCCTTTTCTTTTCTTTCTTGGACGAATATAGAAAGCAAAGTTCAGATATAAGGAAAGACAAGAAAAAAAAAAAACAAACTTAAAACGAAAAGACAATCTAATTAAAATTCTGATGTTGTAGGGATGTTCAAGAAAAAAAAATTTTTGATCACAGATTAATCGGAATTAAAGAAATGAAAAAAAGAATAAAAAAAAAAAAAAGAAAAACGAACAAGAAAAAATTCCTAACCAGGTTTTTGATGTTTAGTAGCCATTGATGAATGAATGAAGAGTTAGGCAACGAATTTCTCTGTTGCATTGGACGCTCGCCAGCGCCACCACATGTGACTTTGAAGACCCACTCTACCCGCTATTGCTGCTGCCGTCTACTATACTGACTCGATCGGATCCGCGCTTTGTCCTTCCTTTGACTACCGCTCGGCTGGTTGGTTCGGCTGGTTGGTTGGTTGGTTGGTTAGTTGATTGGTTGGCTGATTAATTTGGCTGCCACTGCTGCTGCTGTTGTTGTTGTTGTTGTTGTTATTATTATTGCCGCTGTTGCCGCTGCTACTACTACTGCAAGCAATGTTGCTGCTTGTCCAACTTTGTCGTTGATCCTACTATCGCCTCTGTTGCTGTTGCTGTTGCAGTTGTTTGCTATGAATATATTAGT